TGTTTATTCTTTATTATTATTTTTTTAAACATTAATTACTACAAACAGATTTGGAGTAATTAAATCGAGAAAATGTCCTCAGTTTCCGCACTTCATCAAAAATTAGTTACATCTGTTTACAAAGACTGAATTCTGTTCTTTCAGTTGTGTTTTATGTAGCAACGTATTTGTTTAAAGACTTGCATTTTCATATGCAAGCATTAAGTGCACCGATATTCAGCGTTTTCGTGAAAGTTTTGTTGTGGATTTGTCTCGTCCATTTGGACGTCTACAGCAGTGGTGCCCAATGCTGGTCCTTGAGGGTCATTATCCTGCATGTTTTAGTTGTTTTTCCAACTCTTTAGCATGACTTCATGTTCTGCAGGAGCCTGTTAATCACTCATTCATTCAAACCAGGTGTGTCAAAGCAGAGAAACAATTAAAACATGCAGGGGAATGGCCCAGAAGAACCAAAATTGGGCACCACTGGTCCGAAACATTGAGAGCTGAGAAATGTGTCATTTGGTTTTGATTTAAAAAAAAATAAAAATCCCGTCCTTGTTGGCAGACACATAGATCACTGATTTCAATCAACCAATATGTAACACCCAAAATGAGGGAAACAAAACAAAACAATGACTATATTGATGAAAATGTTGTTTTTATTTTTGTAAATTGTCTCATAGATTACTTGGGACATCCCGGTTACCCTGGTCCATGTGAACACAARTACTGTGGCTTGGGACGCCATTGTGTGGTCGACCATGGGATGGACCAAGGGGAGTGCAGGTGCTTGGATCACTGCAAACCACACTATAAACCCGTGTGTGGTTCCGATGGGAAGCTGTATCAGAACCACTGTGAGCTCCACCGGGCCTCCTGCCTCAGCGGACACAGGATTACCATCATGCACAGCGAGGAGTGCTTCTACAAAGGTAAGAAGTCGTTTTCCAACCGATTCATTGCGAAGTACACAAAGTCTCGTTGACCCCGTAAAACGAGGAAKTTGATGTGATGTAAATGTTTGCTGTGGCAGGCACAGGGCATTTCAATGTTAAGAGTTGTGCTGCAGCAGCCTCGTCGTCACAAACACTTCTTGTAGCTGTTAATAAAAAAAAATGAGAACCCATTGTTGCAAACACAACAAAAGAACATTACACTAATATAATATACACAATAATACAAACAGAATCATAACAAGGGGTTGTCTCTACTCGTAATGTAATGATAACCAGTGTTGCCAACTCTCTGTAAGGAAAGTAGCCAATGGCCGTCTTATAAGTGTAATTTAATTTACGTAATTGGCCATGTGCATGTAATTGTAGTGGACGCTGTAGGACAGAAGAGTAATGTTGAGAGAAAAATATAGGTGAGCAATAAACACACTGAATAGGTTTAGAAATACAAACTTGTCAAGTTTTTTCTCTAGTGTACAACTGTCTTCTTTTACTTAGATTGTTGTTTTGTTTTGTTTAACTTTCTAGTGCTGTTTAGTTTTTAAACATTAGCAGAGATTTACAGTAACTCAGTACTAGGGATGGGCGATACGGAGTAAGAATGTATCACAATAATTTCTAGGTTTTATCACAGTAAAGATAAGGGACGATAATATATATAT